CACACTATAATCCATAAGGCTGGATGGGTCGTGAAAAAACCCGCGATGGTCGTGAAACTTTGGTCGTGAAATTACGTGTTATTTGGCTCTGTTCTGGCGGTAGCCCTGCACCTCATGTTTGAGGATACAAAGTGGACTTCTAGGTTAATCTAGCAATTGAAATATCTTATAAACAAAAATTAACACCATGTCTACTTCATCGAATGACTACGTACGGTCATGGACACACCAAAATTACAAAAAACACAATCTTTCCTTTATTAATCTTGTAATTCCTCCATTCAACTCGAAACGACCGGCACTACAATCCTGACGTACACCCCGAACTAGTCTCTAAAACCAACTGACTCCATCGACAACAGGCTTGCCACTGTCGTGCTCCAAAGTTGAAAATTTTTCCCAAATGGTCGTGACGCCAAATCGAGGGACAGACTTATTTTGTCATGGTAGTCAGTTTGCAATGACAATAAAATTATAATATGCTCCTTTTTTGTAAGTTTAATAACCATTGATGACATAAAAATATGGCTTTATATATTTCGGCATGAATAATTAGTCTAAAAACAGCGTGAAAGTTGGAAAATGTACCCTAGGGACACGTCATGGTCGTGAATTTCGAGACTTTAAAATTACGTAAAAAATACCTAGATTCTATTTAAAACCAAATAAATGTGTGTAACATGTTGCCCCCGTCCCAAAAAATATTAAAACACATAATAATAAACTACAAATCCAGTATCTACGAAGTAAAAGGCCAGGGACATGAAAACGTACGTTTTTAAATTTTCACTCAATATCACAGTAACTTTTAAAATTATTTCTTATGGAGTTAACTTATATCTATTATTGTATGGGTTGGTTTCTGCCTTTTTTACCACTTCTTGGAGATTGTACGTAGCTGATATTCTTTGGCATATTGCATCTGTAGACGAAACTTGGGTTGGTGTAATTATTAGAATGGAAAAGAGCGAGAAATCCTGGACAATTTGATATAGGCTAAAAATAAAACTTAATTAACACTTCTTGAGCAATCATTGAAATAACAGATTTGCAAACAATGGAAACATAGAAAAGGTCATAGAACACAACCAAGTAAAAGAAATAGAAATATTGTTTTTTTTACACTAAAAAACAAGATCAGCTTTTTGAAAAAAGATAAGGTATTTACAAAAGATTTTGATTATATCTAACTGTTGTTAGAACGCGATAACTTGAGTAATTTTTGTCCGATTTTGATGAAATTTCGTTTAAAGGTGTAAGGCAGGATAAACTTGAATGAGTTCGCGAACCAGCATGATCGGACTATGGGTACGGGGTGTATGGGGGGTTTTATGGGGTAAAAATAGGGGTTTTCTCATTTTTGACCCTCAAAACACAAATTTTCCCAATTTCTCTCTGGACATTTTTAAAGGGCTTAAAAAAAACAAATGATTTAGTATATCAAAGTGTTTTTGTACGGTTATTGGTAACGGAGAAAAACAAATTGTAAATTAAAAATTCCCATGTTATTCTTATGGAGAATATTGTCAAATGTTGTAGTTTGCATGTTTATAAATATATTTTGAATTTTGATTTAATTTAAAATCAATTCAGACAAATGGAAATTCGCTTAGTCGGCAGGTTTGCTGTGGAGAGGGTATTTAATTATTTTAGAGAACATCCAATCAGTAAAATGGAAATTCACTTAGTCTGCAGGTTTGTTGCGACAGATGTACTTTCCATACTTTCAGACATTTTCCAGGCAAATGTTTAACTATAGTATGTTCACAAAATTTAGGTGGTTTAAGGGGAAGGTTTTCTGGGTTCCCCCATACAAATGCAAGATGTTTCAAAGCTTAATGCATACATCAGCTGATTCAGCTCTAGGCTGTTGTTTCAAAATCAGGGTGAGGTGGAAGGGATGGAATCGCTTTCCCTCAAACCAAACCACCTAAACTTTGATGTTGGCTAAGCAAGACATTTCGGAACAGCTGCAATATCAAATCTATATATTAATTTGAAACTGTTTTTCTTTGTCTCAGCTATTTTGAGATAAAGGCTGGGCGTAGAAACTTGGTAGAGGTGTCTAAAGAAAGGTCTTGGTCTGTAGACGAGCCATCAAAAGAAAAACATGGTGAATTCCCTTTAAATGGCCTTTAAATTCCCATCCCATGTTATTCTTATGGAGGAAAACGGGATTTTTGTCACAGCGAATTTGAGAGAACGGCTGGGCGTAGAAACTTGGTAGGGGTCTCTAAAGAAAGGTCTTGGTCTGTATATGAGCCATCAAAAGAGGAAAGAGGTAAATTCCCTTGGGGCTCCGCCCCAGAAGCCTTTAAAGTTGCCTCTTCAGATTTGTTTACATTACGACCATATACACAATTCTACACTACTTTTTAATGCAACAGCTGTTGATATTTAAATTGTGATTTATTGAATTTGTCCAAATGAAATACAGTATTTGCAATGGATTTTTCTGATTTTAAAATTGATTTTTTTCTGCATCGTGTCATGTTTTTCGATAAAATATTCTATTACCAAATCAGTGGAAAATCCTAATATCACAGTAACTTTTAAAATTATTTCTTATGGAGTTAACTTATATCTATTATTGTATGGGTTGGTTTCTGCCTTTTTTACCACTTCTTGGAGATTGTACGTAGCTGATATTCTTTGGCATATTGCATCTGTAGACGAAACTTGGGTTGGTGTAATTATTAGAATGGAAAAGAGCGAGAAATCCTGGACAATTTGATATAGGCTAAAAATAAAACTTAATTAACACTTCTTGAGCAATCATTGAAATAACAGATTTGCAAACAATGGAAACATAGAAAAGGTCATAGAACACAACCAAGTAAAAGAAATAGAAATAATGTTTTTTTTACACTAAAAAACAAGATCAGCTTTTTGAAAAAAGATAAGATATTTACAAAAGATTTTGATTATATCTAACTGTTGTGTAGATCGTGAGTATTTCCATAATCTTTGAGTCACCTGTTGTAATGCTTCGCAATTGCTCGAATTCGAGCAACAGGTACACTAGTAGGTATAATTGTCTTTTTAAGTTCTTAATTAACGTATTGCAGTAATAGTGCAGTAAAAAATTTCTAGGATTCTAGCAAAGTGACTATCCTGTTTCCTCTGTAGAGTACTGTAACTACTTTCATTGGGAAAGTAAAATGTGTTACATACAAGAAAATGTCTTCAAGGAGTAGTTTTTCAAGGCACCTCTATTTAATTCTTCATCTCTTTGTAGTTCATCTCTTTGAAGTGTACAAGGATTTTATAAAGTAAGCAATAAGCTATTTACAAACAATATTTTATTGTTATAGAGTTAGTTTAAGTATTTACAAGAAAAACACTAATTCAGTTTATATAGTTAGAAACTAACATCAGACTTTCTAATTAAATAATTAATTGGAATTAGGCTTCATAGGCTCAGTCAGGTGTATTACAAAGTAGAATACTCAATAATAATAAATATGTTTGGCGTTTCAATAATGATATCACCTCCAGCTAAGGTTACAATTAATAATAAATTTAGGTTTTTAATTATAAAAATATTGTTAGGATTTACAATAAGTACTTCATAATTGCATTTGGGCTGACAAAAGATCTGTTAGAGGATTCAGAAATTTTCAATTGATCATACAGATTCCTAACAAAAAATGTTTTAAATGCCTAACATATAATACAAAATAATATTCCTGTTTATGCTTTAGGTAATCATTCTTGATTACTTCTAAGGATTGACATTTAAAGGTGACTCACAATCATGTGGCTTTCCAGAATACCAAAAACTGTAAAGCATGCAATTTAAATTGAACAAATGGTTATTTTTAGGCTATTTAAAACAATTGGGAATTATATTGTACCAGCAGAATACCCATACTTCGTACGGGGTCGGCGTATAAGTATAAAATGCTTATTGAAGTTATAGGCCCTACTCGTGCTCTGCGTTTTCGTTTACAATGGGGGAGGACACAGTTTGAGAAAATTTGGTTCTTTAAATTTACAGTATGCTATAGATAAACACATTACCATAGCCATTAACTTCTACCACTGCACCTAAATAGAAAACAAAATTATCAAACATTCACACTATACATATCACAAATAGAAATTTTTTATTAAATTAAAAACATAAACATAACTGTACGACATTTCTCATTGCGTGCACCTTTTTTTTGCTGCTTATTTTAAATTAGCTGTTGTCAAAAATGAAAAAAAAGTGCTTCACCCTGTTGGTAAACCTTAAATATCATAGAACCAGCTACCAAAATTTGTTAATTCCTTTTAAATATGACTCATAAGAATACACATGGAAACTTTAAACCCCTGTGGGGCATAGCCCTATAGGGTTTTCACAACTTTAATATGGCTATGTGTTTCTCGAGACTATCAAGTACCTCTCTGCAAAATGTTGGCTCAATCGGTTCAGTAGTTTTCACGTGATGGAACTTTAGAGTTAGACACAAACATCCATACATTCACAATTTATTATTATAATATTAGTAGGATTATATTAAAACCCTATTAATGAATCTTACTCTTTTCATAAGAAAAATATTCTCATGTTAAATTTGCTGATGTTGTTTATTAAAATTATTGTGTATAAAAGTGCTGGTTTGTCCTAACAAGTTAAATTGTGCGTTAATTTTTAAATGTTTATCACAATGAACATTAAAAATCATAATCAGATGAGAAAAAACCTGAGCAAGTCAACAAGGCAAAAAGAAATTTTGAAATAAAAAAATTAATGTAGAGACTCATATTTATCAGGAATATCCGTTGAGATATAAATATGCCAAGCACCACTAAGGACAAAACAGTATGGAAGTAAATGTAACTTTATTTTAAAAAATAGTATAACTTTGCAGCGTCACAATATTACAAGAGGCTGAATGGTTGGCAGCACTGGATTAACTCAATGAGACCACTTATATTTCCGAGTCACCAAAGGAAATTTTTATTGTTTTGTACTGTATATTAAACAGGGCTAAGAAATAAATGTTCAATCGCATCATAATAAAATTTAATACACAATTAGTATGTCGACTAATAAAAAAACAATAAACGTTGTTTAGAATTTTGAATTCCTAGTTAGTAACAAGTGTACCAAAGTATGACTGAGTTCAACTAAAATATTTTAAAACCTTAAGATATATTACACTTATAATTATTTCTAGAGCGATACAAATTATATCTACATTTCTTAAACGAATGAACGGTTAAAAATTTGTAGTATGATACTAATTGTCTAACTCATCGTCTCACTGCATTAGTGCATTACGAGTCTTACAGGAATGGAACTTGAAATGAATTAAACACTTTAAAACTGGAATAACGTACACTAATGTGGAGCTCTGAAACCAAAAGCAAATTAAAATAATTAACAGATCAACAAAATCTAACATTCATATTCTACAAAATGATAATATTGGAAAACAAATTAATAACATGTTTAACATGAGTTGAATAGTGAATTCAAGGATCGTAAATATTACAACTATTATTTACATCGAGTAACTAATTACAGTATCTGCACAAGTTGGTGTATTTGAGTAAGCTAAGGTGGTAGGATACGAAAATGTGACAAAAAAACTAGTTGTTAGTCTATTTCACTTGAGTTATTCACTGCCCTATCTTCATAAAAAAAAAGGCGGTGGGATATTTTTACACTTTTTCATCAAAGCAACCTGGTTATTTAAAGGGGTTGGGATCCCCCTAATTTCTGAGAAATTAAAAAAAAGAGTAGAAGAGGCTTCTTTTTTATTTTTCACTTTTTTATTTGGTTGGCCAATTGATTTAACATCAGCTGTTTCTGCAGATACCATATTTCCAAATTCGCTTAGTCTGCAGGTTTGCTGCAGGGGGGGGTTCAGTTTGTATTAGGTCCAGGAATGATACCTTCAAAAGGACGGCAGAGAGTTCAGAGACACCCTGTATAATCTATGCCATCTGATGTGAGATGTAGCTTAAGACCAAAGTCGTCAACAACTGATCACCAGATCAAGACAGGCTTAAATTATTCTTTGAGCTTTGTTGTAGGCTTTTGAAAAAAGACTAACTATATATAACACTTCTAATTTTAGAAGCTACTCGCTCTTTCTTCATTAGTAGAGTATTTTTTCTTGTAGAATTAAAGTAAAAAAGCCTTTGTTCCTGATCCTACAAGAACAAAGGCCCTACTACTGAATAAGGAGTACCTAGCAGCTCTGTAAATTCTATGAATTTATATGTGTACTTTAAAATATTTGAAAACCCTGACCCTTAATCCATCTTTAGCAAAAAACTTCATTAAAATATTCTTTGCAATTTTGGGGGTTAAAGCCCTTTACTTAGATATCCCCAAATAATTCACAAGTCTTCAAAACTCTTTTCCAAAACAATCCTCTCAAACAAATAACAGCACAATAATTCTTAACACCTACATAATTTAACATAAGAAAACAAAAGCCAGAGGTTGCAAAGGATTTAAACACTATAAGACGAATCAAGTACACCAACCAGCTGCAGACTATTTACAGGCCTCTGCTTAGGCTCTCGTATGTAACAGTCTCCAATGTGCAATTTATACAAGTCTTTGCGATCACAGCCACTTTACACTGAACCTCCTTTAGCCGTCTTCCTTCGGTGGAGTGAACCAGCCTAGGCAAAAAACATCAACATTGTAATTGAAAACAAAATAAGTAATACTCTGTAAAATATATTAAGATTTAGACTCCACTGATTTTCAAGAGGGTGATTTAAAACTCAGGTGAATCCAGAATGCATTCTCAATAATGACCTTCCTTTATTTTGCTGCATGTCACAACTTTCAGATATAGGATCAAAATTTATATTTGATGTAAATTGGCGTTCAACCTTAATAGTTTAGCTGTATTTTCTTTATATTAGTTTAACATTAAACAAATGGCATGAGAGTTATCCTGTAAAACAGTCTGTACTGAGGACGTACGTACAGTCTGTACTGACTTTAGGAGTGATCACAAATAAAAGGGATTTTATTACTTGATATTATTTCAAAAACATTTGATGCGAAATACTATCATTGCATGTCTTTACAAACTCCCTTAGGGAAGCCTGGAAGTATAGATGGGGACTTATAAGTGAGTTTAACTTCTAAATTTTAGGTTAATAAAACTAAAAAACCTTGAAACTTGTTTACTTTGATCCGATATCCTTAATTCTGTATTATGTTTTGTTGTCTATTGAGTACTCTAATTGTGTTTTATTATTCTTTTAATTATTGTGTAGAAAAATGTTCATTTCTTTTTGTGCTAAATGTTGTTAAAGACTAATATTCATAAAGGCAAAAATTGTGTCAACCAAACAGACGGTTGTTATCAACCATTGTTTCAAAGTGTTATGTTTTTGGATGTACATATTACCTTATCGTTTAGTAAAGCACTTATTCATTTAATTTCATTGCATGGAATTTGTAAGTAGGCCTAGTTGTTAAGGTATTATTATAAGATAAAACACACTTCGTACTTAGATATTTTTGTGTATGAGGTTTCTGTTTGTATAGGATCGGTTAAGTTGATCTAGTCTTTATATTTAGAGGGATAACTGTTATTTTTTTAATATTTAACAGCTGTACAAAACTTTTATTGCCACTTAATACTTGCAGTTGCCTATTCATTATCTGACACGCAATCCTTATAAACCACTACTTTCCAATCATTCAACATTCACAAGCAGTACCTGGGGACGGAGCTTTGCTCGGGGAAAATTATTAGTTTACTCTGAAAGCAGTTTAGTATTGCAGATAGAGATATCCATTCCCAAACTCCACACTGCTCGCCTTTACTACTTCCTTCTTCACCACTCCCTACGTCTGTTTGCCCTCCTTCCCTATACCATTTTAGAATTGCAGATACATAATTGCCACAGACAGTTCCCACACTCTGCACTGCTGGCCTTACTACTTCATTCACCATTTCCTACGTCATGGACCTGTTTCCTTCCCTTCTCATAGCATTTTAGGATGGAAGATACATTAATCTAACTGCCACACACGGTTCCCACACTCTGCGATGCTAAACTTTACTACTTCCTCTTCCTACGTCGTGGACCTGTTTTCATCTCTTTCCATAGCATTTTAGTATTTTAGATAAATTAATATAGTTTCCACAAACATTCAACAGACTCCGCACTGCTAGCCTTTACTACTTCTTTCACCATTTCTTATGTCGTGGACATGTTTCCAACCCTTCTCATAGCATTTCAGTATTGCAGATACATTAATCTAACTGCTACAAAAGGTCTCCAGTTCCAACTCTCCACACTGCTTTCCTTTACTACTTCCTTCACCACTTCCTACGTCTCGGACCTATTTCTTCCCTTCCCATAGCATTTAAGGATTGCAGATACTTTAATCTAATCGTCATAAACAGTTCCCACACTCCGGACTGCTCGCCTTTACTACTTCCTTTACCACTTCCTACATCGCGGATCTGTTTCCTTCCCTTCCCATAGCATTTAAGGATTGCATATACTGTAACCTAATCGTCATAAACAGATCCCGCACTCCACACTGCTACCCTTGACTACAATGTATCGAGTAATCTTCAGTATAATCTTTGCTCAATAGTAACAACTGATGTTTTTCCTTTTGTACTGTATTTTGTTTTGCTAGAATACTGTGGATAGGCAACTTACTAGTCTTTTGTTTACTTTTTCCTTGTTATTTAATTCAGCCAAGATGGTTACTTAGCAACCCATAAGACTAATGTTAAAAAAATTAGACTTTCAGTTTCATTTTTCTACGAAATTAGATTTTTGTTGGTAGTTCTAACTGCAGTAAACTCGTTTTTGGGCCAGGAATAAACTATTTACAACATTTGAACAAAATCGTCGGAGCCGTTTTCGAGATCTTGGTGCAAGCATACGTACATACATACAAGCAAACATTGCTCGTATTAGAGTATAGGATTTTTCAACTTTATCACATGCAGATGATTTTATTGGGTACCTTGATATTATACTGACCACACCTAAATTGGTTACCCTTAGGCTAGGTTAGGTTTTCTTATCCTAACCTAGGTGTGGTTGGTATAATAGCAAAGTACCTTTATTGTACCAGAGCGGTAAATACATCAACTAGAGGTCTCAGATTTAAACTATGTCGTCCGACCATGACGGGAGCTTGATGGAAAGCCCAATTTAATGGACAGCCCTCATAATAAGTCAGCTGTGTGATTACTTTCAGTAGGGTAAGGTTCTCATCTTTGCACTGTTATCAATATTATACATCAATATACAGTACATATCTGCAAATGCTAGTGTAGATAATGCTCTTTCCCTATTGATTGTTGGAAGAAACCAAGATGTTTCAAGAATGTAACTCAGCTTGTTGTGACATACAAAGCTGTTGGATTAACAGTAAAATATTTCAACCAATGGACCAGGGCGTCATTGAAAAGTTAAAAAGAATCTATAGGAAGCAAGTGCTGCGCAGGCTTCTTTCGGCAGAAGATAACAAGGAAAGTAAGTGTCATTCAGTTAGAGAAGAAACTAAATTTGAAAGACTCGTGCTACTCACATTTTAAGTGATTTTGTACAGTTAGATTTAGAGAGATTCTTTTTGTGTTCTGTTTCTGATCAGTGTTTTGTTTAATTCCAATGAACTCTACATATTTTTTTCAAGAAACGAACTACATTAATGTACATGGAGTACACTTAAGTACAAAAACTATTGTTTTTATTTCATTTACTATATCCTAGAACTTTATTTTTAAAACTGTAGGCCTATTATGTGTCTATTAGGCATTTCTAGGTTATGATTAAAAATCTGAACAAATTGGTAACCTGAACTACAGTCACAATTTGTTCGGAATTTTGACGCTCTACTGTATCTAGTTTATGAATGTGTCAAAATTGCAATAAAAACTTGAGGAATATTGAAGAATATCGGTGGGAGCAGTAATGTAATCATATATTTTACATTATTGATTTCAAATTTTATAGTCAGCAAACCTTTGATGCAAATGTAATACAACCAAATTTAAAAATGCATTATTCTTCTTCCACCACATTTACCACTTTTAACTGTACAAAAACCTCAATAGAAACTCAGTATGTAATTTTAAATTGTGAAATAAAATTTTAAAAGACAAAACTAAACTTCAACTTACCATTCTTTTCATGAATTTGTACTAGAGACTTGAAGGACTGTTGTGCCTTTGCTAAACTGTACTGACCCTGTGAAAAACATCATTATGATACACTAAATTACTAAAATATTTGGATAGCAGCGAGCTTACCTAATATAAAAAGTCATAGTACACACAGAAAACACACAATAATTTGCCCTTGGGGTAATTTGTAATTTGTCAAGTGTAGAGATTGTGTCCCTTTACTCTACAAATTACATTCCTGGCCTAGAGCCTTTCCCTAAACAAACTATACCTGTCAAGGAAATGATGTTAACCAGAGGAGAGACAATTTAACAAAACTCTATATTATTTTGTACGCAAAGGATAGTAACTAGCGATGGGCGGATCCAAGAAAATGTCGGTACCATATTCGGATCCAGATACGTACTGTCATAAGGATGGTTTTTTTAAACTTAATATTTACAGAAATCCAATTTAAATCACACTGTTTAAAATTAAATTGGTAATGTTAAAAGGTTGATGTAATAAGATAGCCTATAGAATAATATAGCTTATACGGCTAAGCAACAGTATATGTCGACGTCAATAACTCATATGGCTAGGCAATGTCACAGTATATGTCGACGTCAATAAAGTATATGGATACTTATAGACCACGTATATGGACAAAGATAGTCTTATACAGTTCCGGCCATATAAAGAGAGAAAATGTCAAGGTAGACCTGGTCAGGCCTAATCCCAAGTTGTCAAAACATTAGGGGTGGGCGAGTACACGACCTTCGAGTAATTACTTGAGTTTTTTCAAATACTCGACCTCGAGTCGAGTAGTAATTACTACTCGAAAATTCGAGTCGAGTAGTTATAAATAGTGCCAATTCACGATTTTCTATACCCATATTTAATAAATTATATTTTGTTTTGTGTTGATGCCTTATTTAATCCCCATTCCTACAAAAACAACTATCTAACCTCATATCTCTAGGTTAGACCCAGTGTTCTATAAATCAAACTAGCCAATCAACGAAGCAACGTAGAATTGTGATTCAAATTTTGTAATAATGTTTGTCTTCACTTTGTGAATAAAATGACCTGTCACTTAATTATATGTCACCAGTTTGATTTATAGAATTTGTACTGGGCCGAGTTATTTCTAAGAGTTAAAGGGAAGCAGTAGCAATGACCACTGGGATGGGGTAGCGCGCCCCCTCGGTTTCACAACAATAGCTATGTTTTGACAACAGCGGATTAGCTAATTGGACCGGGTCTACCTTGACATTTTCTCTCTTTATATGGCCGGAACTGTAAATGGATACCAATAGATAGTCACAAATAGTCTTGTATACAGAATGAATAAAAAGTCAAGACCCTGCCCTCCCCCCCAAATATTTTTTTACAGTACAAATATACAGAGATATACTTTTGGTGGTTGTACAATCTAAGCAGGGAGTTTCATTTTATGATTTTGAAAAATTTTGAGGTCCCCCAAAAATGGGGATTTTGGAGACAACTTAACATTTTTTAATGTTATAATAAAACACCCCTGTTATAATAACTTAAAGAATGGTGAAAACCAGAGTTCGCTATCTCCTCTCTATCCTGAATACAGTCATGTACATGGACATAGACACAGATAGTCTTGTATATGGATACGGATAGTCTTGTATATGGACATTGATAGTCTTGTATATGGACACAGACACTGATCGTCTTGTACATGGCCCTTTTATATGGAATTTATTTTAATCATTTGAACTATTAAATAGATTATTTAATACATCACTATGACGGAACACCTGTTATTTTGTATGAATTGTACTTAAAAAAAATCGGATCCAGCCCCAGATCAGATTTTATGGATCTGATCGGGCGTCAGTTCTAGCTCAGATCCGGTAAATCAGACTATCACTAATTATTGTAACCACAAGAAACATAAAAGTGTCTCCAGTTTTAAATCAAACAAAGGATTAAATTGCAGCATTCTTACCTGCGTTACGACTTTAGCAGCACCAAACTGTATCCGAGCTTTGCCCTTGACCAGTGTAGCAGCTATCTGCATGATGACTGCCTCCACAGTGTAGGCCGAGCTCCAGCCTTGCTTGGTCAGTAGCTCCATACAGATGGCTCCTCCCATCTGTCACACATCAAACATCCACTCACTTATATTTTCTTATTACAGATTTTGCAACACACTTAGTTGATAGAAGAAGTACTGGGTTCTTTTGGGAGGCATTTTCCTTGTACACAACCATCAATTTGTGGTCTTTACGGTTGTAAACTTTGTGGCCTACTTCAAATTTTGTTTTTTAGAGCATTAGGTATACATTTCCTGTTTTTCCTCATAGTGCCTGTAATGTAAGTCATCCTTTCATACGGATAATCTGCCAAAGGTATAAACATAGAGAAATTATCTAAAAATAGGCCTAGAGAATTTATGAAATCATCACTCAACTCACCAATTGCGCACCAATCTCTGCCAAGTTATGAAATATTGTGGCAAAACATATAGGCTACTAAATAATAACATACTATTAAATTAAAACTGAAAGAAGAAAATTAATCTCATAGCCGTTTTTAATGCATGCGGGTCTAAAATAGTATTTAAAAAATAATTTTCAGTCTCTAGGGAGTAAAAATCAACAGTTGTAAATTTTGATTGTGGCAATCGTATCGATCAAAATTATTTATCGATTGATTTATTAGGCAAGGTATTGTTGTCGATTGATTGACATATCGATAATGTACTGTAACACAATCACAATAGACGAAATGATTAAATCACTTACTAAACAGCTGCTTATTTGCATTAGCAGATTTGAAAACAAGCTGGAAGTCTTTTTGAGAGGTTATCTTTACATAAAAATCATTTCCTTTTCTAGTTTTGTTTGTTAATTAATGATGCAATATGCCAAAAAATATAGTGCATCACACGGGGAAAAAGTCACTTTTAACCCTCGCTCGTTTTCCAACCTCGGCTTCGCTTCGATCGTAAAACTTGACCTTGGGTCAAAAAGAGTCACTTAAGGTCCTGTGAAGAAATATACAACTTCAACCAATGTTTGTATGACCTTTTTTGTTTTGATTGATTAGTACTATTAGCCCTGAAGTTTGTGACACTCCTTTTTGAACAACCCGAATATATAAACTTAACGGCTGGTGTTACTGGCCCCGTAGAGACCTCAAAATGAAAAAGCAAATCGGTCCTGGGTCTATGTCTTACCATGAGCCTTTTGGTAATAGCTAATTCCCTTATGGGAAATTAGTAAAACACTGAGGAAAAACAATTTACGAATGGAGTATGTATTGGCATAGTCTAAATTAATATGTACTAGGGGTTGTGTCCAGTGATCGAAAACTCGACCAAAAATATGTAATGTACACGGATTGACTATTGGATACTGAAGTAGAAATCCCCAGCTGTTACTATTTTTTAATAAAAAAAAAACATGTAGTCGTGTGAGCCAGTCACAGAATGTGTGTCTAAAATTATAATGTCTACCTAATTTGTTGTTGTTGACAAAGTTGATGAGTCATAACAGTTGCTTTGCTATAGCTCATAATAAGTCATTCCATAAGTTTGACTTGGTAAAAAACCTCGTGTTTTCACATAAATCAGTGCAATCTATTGGTGGCTCACATCAACTAAGACAAATTTAATTAAAACTGGCAACAACTTTAACATTGGGATGGAATGTCTACAGTAGTTGTAATTCAAAGGTACAAGGTAGGTAGGGCTTCTCTATATTTTCACCCCTCGCTATAAATAAAACTTGAGATTGTAATTTCTTCAATTTGTTTGGATTTTCTGTTCATATTTCGTTGTTATTTTGTCACCAGCATAGCAACCCATAAAGCCCATGTTAATTTATTTTTGAGCGGAGCGAGCGAAGCGAGCGAAGCTCTTATACGTCGACTCTTGTGCATTTCGAAATACGCAAACTCCTCCTAGACGGCTGAATCGATCGTTTTCAAATTTTGCATGGTGATAAAGACCATATCGGTGAGTGCCAACATCTATATGGCGTTAAAAAAGTCTCTCAGGAATCCGCCCCACTGGGTCTCAAAGTTTCAATGTAATCCTTATGGAAGCAGTATTTGACACATAAACAAAAACACAGATTCATCAACACAACAGGATGATCAGCTGTTGGCTTTTGAATGCAGTAGATAATGAAATAGCGGATAGCATTATTCCACAGATATTAGAACATAAACGGTATGGATCATAATTATAACCAAATGACGACACTAGCTTGAGGTCTGTGACGTATAAAGTGGTGAAGGAAGAAGTCAAGGCGAGATGTCCGGAGTGTGGGAACTGTTTACGACGATTAGATTAAGGTATCTGCATTCCTAAAATGCTATGGGAAGGGAGGAAAACAGGTCCGTGACGTAGGAAGTGGTGAAGAAAATAGTCAAGACGTGAAGTCCGGAGTATGGGAACTGTTTATGACGATTAGATTAAGGTATCTGCAATCCTAAAATGCTATGGGAAGGGAGGAAAACAGGTCCGCGACGTAGGAAATGGTGAAGGAAGTAGTAAAGGCGAGCAGTCTGGAGTGTGGAAACTGTTAATGACGATTAGATTAAGGTATCTGCATTCCTAAAATGCTATGGGAAGGGAGGAATACAGGTCCGCGACGTAGGAAGTGGTGAAGGAAATAGTCAAAGCAAGATGTCCGGAGTGTGGAAACTGTTTATGACGATTAGATTAAGGTATCTGCAATCCTAAAATGCTATGGGAAGGGAGGAGAACAAGTCCACGACGTAGGAGGTGGTGATGGAAGTAGTAAAGGCGAGCAGTCTGGAGTGTGGAATCTGTTTATGACGATTAGATTAAGGTATCTGCATTCCTAAAATTCGATGGGAAGGGGGGGAAACAGGTCCGCGACGTAGAAAATGGTGAAGGAAGTAGTAAAGGCGAGCAGTCTGGAGTGTGGAAACTGTTAATTACGATTATATTAAGGTATCTGCATTCCTAAAATGCTATGGGAAGGGAGGAAAACAGGTCCACGAAGTAGGAAGTGGTGAACGGAGTAGTCAAGACGAGAAGTCCGGAGTATGGGAACTGTTTATGACGATTAGATTAAGGTATCTGCAATCCTAAAATGCTATGAGAAGGGAGGAAAACAGGTCCGTGACGTAGGAAGAGGTGAAGGAAGTAGTCAAGGCGAGATGTCCGGAGTGTGGGAACTGCTTATGACGATTAGATTAAGGTATCTACAATCCTAAAATGCTATTGGAAGGGAAGGAAACAGCTCCGCGACGTAGGAAGTGGCGAAGGAAGTAGTAAAGGCGAGCTGCTCGGGGTGTGGGATATGTTTGTGACGATTAGATTAAAGTATCTGCAATTATAAAATGCTATTGGAAGGGAAGGAAACAGGTCCGCGACGTAGGAAGTGGCGAAGGAAGTAGTAAAGGCGAGCTGCTCGGGGTGTGGGATCTGTTTGTGACCATTAGATTAAGGGGTTTGCAATCCTAAAATGCTATGGGAAGGGAGGAAAACAGGTCCGTGACGTAGGAAGAGGTGAAGGAAGTAGTAAAGGAAAGCAGTCCGGACTGTGGGAACTGTTTGTGACGATTAGATTAATGTATCTGCAATTCTAAAATGCTATTGGAAGGGATGGAAACAGGTCCGCGACGTAGGAAGTGGCGAAGGAAGTAGTAAAGGCTAGCTGCTCGGGGTGTGGAATATGTTTGTGACGATTAGATTAAGGTATCTGCAATCCTAAAATGCTATTTGAAGGGAAGGAAACAGGTCCGTGACGTAGGAAGTGGCGAAGGAGGTAGTAAAGGCGAGCTGAACAGGGTGTGGGATCTGTTTGTGACCATTAGTTTACGGTATTTGTAATCCTAAATTGCTAGGGGTAGGGAGGAAAACAGGTCCGTGACGTAGGAAGAGGTGAAGGAAGTAGTCAAGGCGAGCTGTCCGGAGTGTGGGAACTGGAAACCGTTTGCAGCAGTTTTAATGTATCTGCAATGCTGAAATGCTAAGAGAAGGGATGGAAGCATGCTCACGACATAGGAAATGGTGAAAGAAGTAGTAAAGGCTAGCAGTACGGAGTGTGGGAATGTTTGTGGCAATTAGATTAAGGTATCTAAAATACCAAAATGCTATGGAAAGTGATGAATACAGGTCCACGACATAGGAAGTGGCTTAGGAAGTAGTGAAGTATGAGCATCAGCATAGTGTGAGATTCGTCTGTGGCAGCTAGATTAATATATCTTCAATACTTAAATGAAAATGCTATGATAAGGGAAGGAAACAGGCCCCACGACGTAGGAAGTGGTGAAGGAAGTAGTAAAGGCTGGTAGTGCAGAGTGGGGGAACCGTTTGGGCAGTTAGATAAATGAATCTGTAATACTTAAATGCTATGAGAAAGGAAGGAAACAGGTCTATGACGTAGTAAATGGTAGTAAGGCTAGCAGAGCAGAGTGTGGCAGAGTGTGTCTTTGGCAATTACATTAATGTATCTGCAATCCTAAAATGCTATGGGAAGAGAGGGAAACAGGTCCACGACGTAGGGTGTGGTGAAGGAAGTAGTAAAGGTGAGCAGTGTTGAGTTTGGGAATGGATTAATGTATCTGCAATGCTAAAATGCTACAGGAAGAGCCTGTAGACTGTATGTTAAAATGATTACGAAGCACGGATCGATACATATTTTCGATACATGCAATCGTTTACAATCTAAATTTACAAACTGAGTTGACAACAGCTGATTTCTACTCCATAGAGACTAAAAACGATTTTTGCTCTCTAAATAAAAAAATGCTACTTTAGACCCGCAACGCATGCATTAAAAACTACTGTTTTTATTGCAGTATGACAAAAACAATATAATATGAACCCTTGATGACTCCGCTCAATTTTGTGGATGCCTCTGCGAACGCCACCTAGTTATTTTAAATTCATTTTTTGTGCTTATACTTGAGCCTATTTTAATTTTTAAAGGGATTCTGTACATATACAGGAAAATATCTTTCTAACGGTAAGCGTAGATTTTCCCTGTGTTGCACACGAGCTGAGAAAAGAGGTTTTAAAGAAACATGCTTGCCTATTTATATATAGACTAGCTGACCCGGCGAACTTCGTATCGCCTAAGTTATAGGTTTCCCCTAAGACAGACCGATGGAAAGAAAGTACCGTTACGTTTAATTTTCAAGATGATCTCGTTCGCATTGCTCAATCACGTCCTGGTTGAAGTTCGTTCGCTACGCTCACTCACCTTTGGGTTGGAGCTCGTTCGCTACGCTCACTCACCTTTAGGTTGGAGCTCGTTCGCTGCGCTCACTTGCCTTCAGGTTAGCTCGTTCGCTACGCTAACTCGCCTCCAGGTTGAAGTTCGTTCGCTACGCTAACTCGCCTCCAGGTTGAAGTTCGTTCGCTACGCTCACTCACCTTTTGGTTGCAAATTAGCTGTTGTCATAAATGTAAAAGAAATAATAGTGCTGTACCCTGTTGGTAATCCTTGTAACTTTAATGCTATTGAACATCATAGAACAGAACCAACTTGTTTAATTGAAACAGCTGTTAAGATTCATTAATTCCATTTCTCATAAGGTTAACATGGGAAACTCCAGAGCCACTGGGGCGGAGCCCTTTTAAGAATTTCGAAACGGGAAATAGTTTACGTCCGATTCGCATACCTACAGAATTTACACACCAAATTTCATAACGATCGGTGAAGTCGTTCCGGAGGAGTTTGCAGACAAAAACTGTGACACGAGAATTTTATATATTAGACTAGCTGACCCGGCGAACTTCGTATCGCCTAAGTTATAGGTTTCCCCTAAGACAGACCGATGGAAAGAAAGTACCGTTACGTTTAATTTTCAAGATGATCTCGTTCGCATCGCTCAATCACGTCCTGGTTGAAGTTCGTTCGCTACGCTCACTCACCTTTGGGTTGGAGCTCGTTCGCTGCGCTCACTTGCCTTTAGGTTGGAGCTCGTTCGCTACGCTAACTCGCCTCCAGGTTAGCTCGTTCGCTACGCTCACTCGCCTCCAGGTTGAAGTTCGTTCGCTACGCTCACTCACCTTTTGGTTGCAAATTAGCTGTTGTCATAAATGTAAAAGAAATAATAGTGCTGCACCCTGTTGGTAATCCTTGTAACTTTAATGCTATTGAACATCATAGAACAGAACCAACTTGTTTAATTGAAACAGCTGTTAAGATACATTAATTCCATTTCTCATAAGGTTAACATGGGAAACTCCAGAGCCACTGGGGCGGAGCCCTTTTAAGAATTTCGAAACGGGAAATAGTTTTCGTCCGATTCGCATACCTACAGAATTTACACACCAAATTTCATTACGATCGGTGAAGTCGTTCCGGAGGAGTTTGCAGACAAACACTGTGACACGAGAATTTTATATATTAGATAGATAGTTTAACTTTTGCCCTTTCATATAGAAAAACTGATTTAGTTTGATATGTCAATACATCAATTGGCCTACCAAACAACAAATTTTAATTATAGTCATTAAGGGTCTATCAGCTTATGACAAAGAAAATATCTACATCTGAGCTCATGTTTCTAGTGGGAAAAACTCACCAGGACATAACCACCGGAAATCACAGGATGAACGACACGGACAAACGGAGGCTCGAAGGGGTAAGTCTCCTTAAATAGCATGTTGAGCAGTATGGAGTCCTTGCCTTCCTTCTCCTTCAGTAGAACAAGGTCGTTGTGTAAGGGTGAGTCAGGGTCTACAGACATGAGGCGGATGTTCCACTCATACAGACTATCAGACACCAGCTCTATGCTGTACATGCCTGTCAACAACACACAACAACTATACACAAAAACTATACTTCCTCATGAAAATATCCTGTTTGCAGGACCAGATCACTATAATTTTATAGTGTCGCTAACAGAGTTTTTATTTCAAGGTGGTGTAAAATTCATGCTCTTATTTAAGGAATTTAAAAAATCCAGTTAAGTTGATAAAGTCTCTGTGAACTTGCAATATTGCAGAATTTATGAATCTACTTCACCATCAATTTCTTTAGAGCCTCTTAGAATTAAGTATCCCGGCCCCCGGGGTAAAACATGTATGTAGTGTCAACTCAATTGAAACCAAATGTAGGGTTTCACAAAAATCATCCAAATTTTAATGAATATCTACAGTCCTAGATGTTTATGCTGCCAAAAAATCCATATAATTTTCGAAGCTCATGTGATTCCCGTAGCGAGGATTCAAAAATGCACAGCTGGAGATTACCTTTTTTAAACGTTTCAGAACGGTAAATGTCCCTGAGCTCCTTCATGAGTCTATCAGTGGCCTGTACACTGCCGGAGACCTGACCTCTCAGATAGTCCTGTCGCTGATTCTGCCTCAGTCGCTCTAACATATTACTGTGTTCAGCGTCCATCTCTTCAGCCTGTAACATGTAAAAAATCTAACAAACCACTTAATAGCCTTAGGACTCCTTTTATAGCGGAAAGTAAATAAAAGAAACGTCTTATAACCCTTAAAACATATAGTTACGCTTATACTGTTACTCACAAGACGGTTAATATACAAAAAAGATGGTAAGTGGTGATCGATTTCGATTGGACACTCCAATCATCATCAGACCCAATAGGCGAATAATAGGTAACATATATGTTTTAAGTGTTATAAGACGTTTCTTTTATTTACTTTCCGTAAATTTAATAACAGTACAATGCTGATCAATAAGTTCTTTTATGACGAAATAGGTTGTCATTTGTCATGATATGTGGTGCTGGATTTGTTTATTTGATCATGTTTTATTTATCTTACATATTTTTATGCCTAGTAACCTTTGACACATTACGATTGCAACAAAGATGGGTGGCATTTTAATAATGAAAATGTTAGACTAGCTAAAGAGAACATTATGGAAACAGAGGTAAGATGGCTGATTTGGATTTCAACGAAAATGTTGAAATTCCAACCATTATCACTGTAAAAAAAAGAAAACAGCTTGATGTTGTTACTACCTGGTGTTATTTGATCGGCCTATATATAATCTTATCATTGATCACTCAATTTAACTAAAACACTGACTAATTGTCCATTTAATTGTGAAAATTGTAGGCTACCATAACTACAACTAATTAACTTTTTAAAGACAATAACTTTAAACAAAATTTTCTTAAAAATAAAAATAAATAAAAAGTTTTGTTTTGTGCTTTCAGTTGCCCCGCTCACAACTGAATTATAATATATTGCCTTGAGAGGAATGAGGGCCAAGTGGGTCAATAGGGAAATTTTCTGTAATTCTGGGACTTTTTGAATAATAAAAATATCTCTATCCTTTTTAAAGTTACAAACTTAGACCTTTGCAGAAAACTTTGTAAAATGTAAAGAAACGGAAAATTACAAAATCTTATAAAATTAGGAAATTATAACAAAAAATTAGGGGTCTGCGGTGCGGTTTGTGCCTAATTACTGCAATCGTTTCGAATACATAATTTTCCTCAATACTAATTTGGTTGTGTAAAGCCTACAATATTTAATTACCTTCAATTATTTTACTTAGGCCTAAGGTAATTTCCTTAATCGTGGCCAGTACCTTAATATGAACCACTATCTTAAATTTTAAAATATGTCTAACATTTACCTTATTCTTAGCAAGTATCTCGCTCTCGTCCATCTCCAGGTGCAGGTCCTCATCGTCGTCGTTGTCATCATCGTCATCGTCCTCCTCTGTCTCATGAGGATCGCCCTGGACTGGTGGCGGAGGCATCCACATTCCTAGCGTCAGTCTCTCCAACTCACCTGGTTCTGACACACCATGTAGGCGACACAGCTCTCGCACCAGGATTGCCACTTGGTTCATCACCTACAAAACATTCAGAGTCAATTCACATAGGCTTTGTTAGATGTATAAACCAAATAGTTTTTAAAATAAATAATCAAAAGGATGACATTTTACTCAGTATTTTAATTCATGAAGCAAAAGTTCCTCTCCCATGAGAAGTTTACCATATTTATTTGATTAAAGGACCTACAACTTAAGATGCTACACAAAAAAATACAATAAAATGTATTTAAATACTTACATGGTTGTCACGGCCCGATGTATTGCTGAGAATCTGAACTGCGTTTGTAACACTTGTTTCCTCCGTATCAGCAAACCATACTGGAGGCGTGGACGGATATGTTTCCTAGAAATATTTTTAGGTGAAAATTGCATCAATAGGCTACTAACTTACATGGATGTTCATTAGACAAAATCTAATTTGCCTTTAAGGCCAGATAATTCATTACCGAAGTAGACTGCTAAAATGGCCTTAAAGTTACAGATGAAATATATCTTATAGAAATCTGGCAAAATTACCCCTATCATTCATTATTCCTAATTACTAGGGGCATGTAGGGACATAACTCCCTAAAAAGCTCAAAATGTAAAACAACTAATTTGTTGTTGTTATATACAGGGTGACAGTTAAGTCTTAGGACGACTTTATAACTTTCAAACGACAAACGATATCACAACCACATTTGGTATACCGTTACTGGAAATTGTAAGCTACTTTTCTGTGTACATGGTGGTCGGATATCACCTTTGGGGGACGGTCAGTCGGGGGTCAGAAGAAAATCTTTAATGACAGCCTATGTTGAGTTGTACATCATTTTAAAGGTCTACTTCAACTGAAAACAATGCCGCAAACCGCACTTCAAAAGGTTGATCCTGCGCAAAATGGCAGATGTTCAAAGATTTTAAAAATTAGCCAATTTCTTTAAATTAAAACACTTTTTTAAATCTTTAAACAACTGTCATTTTTTAATGGATGGTCCTTTTCAAGTACGGTTTGCGGCATTGTATTCTACTAATAAATACCTTTAATTTGATGTGCATATCAACCTATGCTTCCATTCAAGATTTACTTCCGACTTCTTGTGGGCCATCGCCCTGAAGAGTTATTTGGATCACTGAATGTGAAGTTATGGGGATCATTTTAAAGGGAATTTTAAGCAAAGAAGAATGCCGCAAACCGTACTTCAAAAGGACCATCCGTTAAAAAATGACAGTTGTTTAAAGATTTAAAAAAGTGTTTTAATTTAAAGAAATTGGCTAATTTTTAAAATCTTTGAACATCTGCCATTTTGCGCAGGATCAACCTTTTGAAGTGCGGTTTGCGGCATTGTTTTTAGTTGAAGTAGACCTTTAAAATGATGTACAACTCAACATAGGCTGTCATTAAAGATTTTCTTCTGACCCCCAACCGTCCCCCAAAGGTGATATCCGACCACCATGTACACAGAAAAGTAGCTTACAATTTCCAGTAACGGTATACCAATTGTGGTTGTGATATCGTTTGTCGTTTAAAATTTATAAAGTCGTCCTAAGACTTAACGGTCACCCTGTATATACATATAATCCAATGTTTGTCCTTTATTCGTTACCAAACGACCATCTGATCGTGATGAAACTCAAGGGAAGTAAATAAGTACTATACATAATGAACAGTTTTATTAACCACATTTAGTAATATTTTATAGATTGCGAACTCATTCAAGTTTATTCCGCCTTACACCTTTAAACCAAAGTTCACCAAAATCAGATAAAAATTACTCAAGTTATCGTGTTTAAGGACACATACATATAAAAATTTGAACGAATGGTGCTTTTGGCCTCTGGGGACATCAAAATGATAAAGTAAATCGGTCCCGGGACTAAGTCTTACCATGAGACCTACGGTAATAGCTTATTCCCTATAGGGAAATTCGATAAAAATCGCAGCTTAGTGCTTTTTTTAATGATCCAGTACACTCACATTCTGATTAGTGATACCTAATTATAGCACCCATTTACAATTAAACTAGAGGACCCATGCTGCTCCGCAGCAATAAAATAAATATAATATCCGAGAAATACCGGTAATCAAATTGATGATTTTTGATTGAGTAATACAGAATCTTGAGCTTAACTTATTCAAACGATCAATAACTCAAATTAAAGCCTATAATTTACTGATTATTTTTAGTCTAAAACATATATAAAAAACATAAACAACACTGGAGCTATTGATTTATAATCATAGTAGTACCTTATGAAAAATTATTTTTATGTTGGTTGTTAACCTTGCATTTGCTTGAAACTCGTCCGATTTGAATAACTAATAGCTTAAATGAAACCCAGTATTTCACTGAAGGTTCTTAGACCAAAACATATATATAGGATTATATCATTATACTAGCAGAGTACCCGTCCTTCGTACGGGGTTGGTATTTTTAGTATAAAATGCTTATTGCAGTTATACTCAAGCTTTGCGTTTGCAATGAGGGAGGACACAGTTTGATAAAATTTGCTTTTTTAAATTTACAGTATTCTATAGTATTACACATCTACCATAGCCATAATGTTCTACCACTTCACCTAAACAATAGAGAAAAAAAAATTATCAACAATACGCAAAATATCACAAATTATTCATGAAATGAAAAACATAAACATAACTGTAAACAATCGTACTTTGACAGTTCTCATTGCGAATCACAGTTTTTTGTTGCTGCTTTTAGTTCAAATTAGCTGTTTTCATAAATGCAAACAAATATCGTGCTGCACCCTGTTGGTAAATCTTATAACTTTTTAATGCTTTTCCATATCATAGAACCAACTTTTTTAGTTGAAACAGCTGACTAAATTCTTTAATTCCCTTTAAATATGAATAGGCCTACTCATAAGGTTAACATGGGGAATTACAGAGCCACTGGGGCGGAGCCCGAAAGGAATTTTTAGATAAGAATATGCCTATATGTTAATCGGGAATGTAAGCTATCATCATGCCAAATTTCAGCCCAATCCGTCCAGTGGTTTATGCGTGATTGAACTTCAAACACACAAACAAACAAACACACAAACTTTCACATTTATAATATTAGTAAGATTATTTGGTGAAATACATCTTAAATTGAAGTAAGAATTCAAAAATAAATCACATTATGATTTTTAATGGAGTAGCCTAATACAGTAGGTAAATATATGCCAATGCTTAAGTGAAATCTTTGCGTGCCTGCCTTCAATTTGAGACCACATTATAAAAATCGGTCGGGTAGAAGAGCTAAACGAACTCGGCAAAGAAAAACCAAATTTAATTCCCATAAGAAAAACATGGAGAGCAAATTTCGTTTTTTACGTATAAACCGAGTGAGACTATAGATAATTTTATGCCGATGCTTGATGGCAAATCTGTGCATGCATACCTTCAATTTGAGACCTCAATCATGAAAATCGATCGGGTAGAAGAGCTATCGAACTTGGAAAAGAGAAACCAAACTCCCATTTACACATGGAGAGCAAATTTCGTTTAGCCTACGTATGTACGGAGTGAGACTATAGATAATTATATGCCAATGCTTGATGGCAAATCTGTGTGTGCATACCTTCAATTTGAGACCTCTATCATGAAAATCGGTAGGGTAGAATGAGCTAAACGAACTCGGCAAAGAGAAACCAAATTTAACTCCCATAAGAAACACATGGAGAGCAAATTTTGTTTACGTATAGGCCTAAACCGAGTGAGACTATAGATAGTTACAGTAGAACCCCTGTTAACCGAATTAGGGTTAACCGAAATTGTTCTATAAAATAATATAGATCTGTAAAATGCTCTCTAATAACTTCAGTTGTCTGGCTTAAAAAATATTTCTATCCCATTGTAACATTTTTGTAGCTGAAATAAAACACTGAATTAGGCCTATATAGGTATTCTCTTAAATTCATTTTCCTACACACTGTGGTGATACATTGGCTATTTTTAGCATATGATGGGTTAACCGAAAAATTGTTTATCCGAAACAGCTCTCCCCCCTTTATTTAGGTTAACCGGGGTTCTACTGTATATGCCGATGCTTGATGGCAAATCTGTGCGTGCATACCTTCAATTTGAGACCTCAATCATTAAAATCTGTCGGGTAGAAGAGCTAAATGAACTCGGCAAAGAGAACCCAAATTTAACTTCCATAAGAAACGAATGGAGAGCAAATTTCGTTTACGTATAAATCAAGTGAGACTATAGATAATTATATGCAGATGCTTGGCAAATCTGTGCGTACATACCTTCAATTTGAGACCTCTATCATGAAAATCGGTAGGGTAGAATGAGCTAAACGAACTCGACAAAGAGAAACCAAATTTAACTCCCATAAGAAACACATGGAGAGCAAATTTTGTTTACGTATAGGCCTAAACCGAGTGAGACTATAGATAGTTACAGTAGAACCCCTGTTAACCGAATTAGGGTTAACCGAAATTGTTCTATAAAATAATATAGATCTGTAAAATGCTCTAATAACTTCAGTTGTCTGGCTTAAAATATTTCTATCCCATTGTAACATTTTTGTAGCTGAAATAAAACACTAAATTAGGCCTTTATAGGTATTCTCTTAAATTCATTTTCCTACACACTGTGGTGATACATTGGCTATTTTTAGCATATGATGGGTTAACCGAAAAATTGTTTATCCGAAACAGCTCTCCCCCCTTTATTTAGGTTAACCGGGGTTCTACTGTATATGCCGATGCTTGATGGCAAATCTGTGCGTGCATACCTTCAATTTGAGACCTCAATCATTAAAATCTGTCGGGTAGAAGAGCTAAATGAACTCGGCAAAGAGAACCCAAATTTAACTTCCATAAGAAACGAATGGAGAGCAAATTTCGTTTACGTATAAATCAAGTGAGACTATAGATAATTATATGCAGATGCTTGGCAAATCTGTGCGTACATACCTTCAATTTGAGACCTCTATCATGAAAATCGGTAGGGTAGAATGAGCTAAACGAACTCAGCAAAGAGAAACCAAATTTAACTCCCATAAGAAACACATGGAGAGTAAATTTTGTTTACGTATAGGCCTAAACCGAGTGAGACTATAGATAGTTACAGTAGAACCCCTGTTAACCGAATTAGGGTTAACCGAAACCCGGGTTAACCGAAATTGTTCTATAAAATAATATAGATCTGTAAAATGCTCTAATAACTTCAGTTGTCTGGCTTAAAATATTTCTATCCCATTGTAACATTTTTGTAGCTGAAATAAAACACTGAATTAGGCCTATATAGGTATTCTCTTAAATTCATTTTCCTACACACTGTGGTGATACATTGGCTATTTTTAGCATATGATGGGTTAACCGAAAAATTGTTTATCCGAAACA